GTAACCCCTTAGTAAGCTACCAGGTAGAAAGTCTAGCCAAGGATAGCTTGATGGCTTTCTAGAATAAAAGACAGGAAAACTGAAGAGTCAAAGATGTAGACAGGACATTCATTTGCCTTATGTTTAAAATATTTACTTTTATAATGAAAGGGAATTTATTGTAGAATATTTGGAAATTACAGAAAAATGCTTTTAATCCCCTTAACAGCCACGGATAACTATAGTCAATATTTTGGCATTGATACTTGGAATTTGCATGGAAAAAAATTAGTGTTACACTATATAAAGTTACACATTTTCCTGTGTGTTTTTTTTTTTTTTTTTTTTTAAAGATTTTATTTATTCAGTTTTTTCCCCCCAAAGCCCCAGTAGACAGTTGTATGTCATAGGTTCACATCCTTCTAGTTGCTGTACGTGGGACCCGGCCTCGTGTTGGAGGGAGAAGTGGTGCCTCGGGGTGCTCCCGGGATCCGAACCCGGGTCGCCAGCATCAGAGCGCGCGCACTTAACCGCCAAGCCACAGAGCCGGCCCTCCTGTGTGTTTTTTTAAAGATGGTGTTAAAATATGAGTAATGGCTGTAAAACATTTTGTCCATTAAGATGTAGCATAATTTAACTACTTTATTATCAACTGGGTCATTTAGGTTGCTTCCAACTTTTAAGTTTTAGAAATAACACTGCAATTTACATACTCTTGTACATTAATCTTAGTGTACATCTCTGAATATTTCCTTAAGATAATTTTTTAAGTAAAATCACTCAAAGCGTATAAAATCTTTATTGATCAATATATACTGGTAGGTTGGCTATATCATAATACCTTTGCCAGCAATGTTTAACCTGCCAATTTGATAAATCATATAGTCTCATTTTTTAATCTGCATTCTTTGGATTGGACATAAAACCATTTTGTATCCTATGCTTATTGGTTATTTTTTTTTTTTTACAAAAAATTGCTCTGTGTTACTCTCTCTATACATGGGATCATTCATCTTTATTTCACCCCCACAGCACGTGCAAGTCTGTGTTTTCTCTGACTGGTAAAAGCTTTCTCTTAATAGATGAGCACATGTGTAATGGCTGAAAACCATGAATCTGGAGAAGTACAGAATATGGCGGTCTCTGTAGGAACTTCTTTGCATAGAACAAAATCTTCATGGATTGGGGATTACCTGGGGTTTTGAAAGAGTATTTCTAAAGTCCTTATGTGCAGCTTCACATCTCTGAAGCTTTGTAAGGACTATATTCTCAACACATGAAACACAATCTTCCTTGTAAAAACCTATCTCCATACACTCTCTCTTCCTCAACTGAGGCGCTGACTCACACCTCTCCTAAAAAGCAATGAAATGCTGTCACTAAAGCATATGCAGTATTTTATTTATGTTGATCTTCTAACTAGTGAAAGCCTTAAACAGCCTTCCTAATTATGCAGTGGAATGCCATATATCCTGAGTATTTCATACACTGGTCACTATCAAACATGCAGAGTTCATTTAATCCAATCTCACTTTCTAGAAGAGGAAACAACGGTTCAGATGAGTATCATTCTCATGGCCAAGGAGAACCAAGGCCAGAACCACTCTTTCCTGATAACCAGTCCACTGACAAATCACACTCTCCTAACTCTATACAGTTGGTGACATCCAGCAGCACTGCTAAGCATTCTAGGAATGTTTCTAATGAAAAAGATAAAAGGCTAAACTTTCAAATAAATCAGAACTTAAAGATTCAAATATGATTTATTTCAAAGCAGTCTCTCTGGAAAACTATGCAAACATTTTAATGATGTTACAATTGATTAAAGGAGTTTTATAATTTCTCTTTGAAAGCACCCATAGGGTCAGTTTATAAGAAAATCATAATCCTTAAACTTAAGTCAATTTCATAATCATATATCATTTTACACATCAACTGATTAAATTACTCAGTTTTTCCATTCATCTTATGCCCTGGGATTAAACGACCTGAAGCCATTTCAAAAATTCATATTCAGCTTCAAAGCATCAAGATTTGCCATCACTTATGATATTCAAAGAGAATGTAAAATTCCAAAAGATGAGCTTAAGATGTTTGAAACAATGATGGCATTGTAAGAGTAAGTTTGTAACCTCCCAAGGTGTCTGTTTATATTCTTTCTCTTTCCAAGGAAGATTTGAGGTAGGCTTTATCACTGTTTAGAAAAAAAACACTTACTTGAAGATGTAAATTGTTTTTAAACGGACATTTTTAGTTACACCTTACGCAATCACGTAACTACTGAAAACTCTCTAGAACTATATTTGGAGGACATCCCAAAGATGAGCATGTCAAATTATATTGAATATATACTTAAATATGTATATATGTATAGAAAAATGTTTTACAGTACATACACTAGAATGTAAATAATGATATCCATTGAGGGAAAAGGTTATGAGACATTTTCATTTTTCTTTATTTTTGCTCACCTGGACTTTCTTACATTCCTACTGTGGATATGGAGCATTTACACAATTAAAAATATATATATACATATATATAAATATCAAACAAAAAAGTCTATATCCACATATATTTTAAAATTCCAAGATCTAAGCATTAAAGATGCTTAATCGGAATTTGCACATCTTCACATTCAAGAGCTCAAAATTTGGCTCAAGAAGAAGGATACACCTGCCTAGATACTATAGAGGCAGGGTTTAAAAAGAACGTTGAGGTTGGGTTTATCTTTTCTCTTTAACTTTCTGTATAATTCTACAACTATCTGTACAACTCAAAAAGGAAACTTTGCCTATTCCAAGTGAGCTACTGCCTCTCAAAATGTTTAAAGTGCATTCCAACAGTAATTACATTGTTGACGACCTGAAAATGGGTCACCCCACACAACTGATTAAAACTCTCTTATGCAATCTTCCTTTGGAGGGAAACAAGGACAGCTTGTACAAATATTTCAACCAGATCTACTTCCCTAAGAGAAGATGGTATACAGTCATAGATATTGACAAGAAAGGCAAAGGAAAAATTATGAAGAAGTTAAATTAGCCTCGTCATTTGTCCCAACCAATTTCATATTACATCATTAATTTAAGAAAGTACATAGGCTTCTGTTGTGTCATTAGCTAATAAATAAACAACGTCTAAAGTTTAGATATTTTTACTTTGAAAGTTATGATGAAACAATTATATCACTTGGAAAAATGTTAAGACAAGGTTTGAGAAATAACTACATTTCTATAGGATATGTAATTGTTATTTTTATAAGTTCACTGTTTCAACAAGCTATGTTTCCTTTCTGACTAGGAATCTAGGGTAACAAAATGAGATTTAGCATGCGAATTTTTAGTTTTTAAGTAAAGAGGTATTTATGAAATATATTTGAATCAATTTACATGGTTTGGACATTCTGTTTGTAAAGGTTTAAAGACCATGCCACTCAACTACATAAAAGTTTAAATTGCCTCTACAGAAAGAAACATCCTAAAGTTAAGAGATAAACGGCTGACAGGGAACCATAACATGACAGAAAAGCCCTCCCGAACTGAGTGAACCCTATATTCCACCACCTGGAATGGAACTGGGAAAGAGCTGCTGCCCCGACTACACAGGTTAAGTCTGCTAGAGATTGTCTCAAAGACTCAACATCACACAGCTCCCTTCCTATTTCACCATCCGATAACTCTAAAACTCAGAGGCCCTTGTAGCAATGGGGAAATTCCCAATTCTATTAACCATCAAGTATCTTCTTGATTACTGAGTTCAGAAAACTTACCTAAGGGACCTTAAGAGGAAATCACCAATTTATTCTTACAGTGAGAACTAAGATCTCCCAGCCTAAGAAGGAATGATAAATGCTCTGTAGTGTTCTTATACACAAAGCTATAAAGCATGTAAAGTAGCTAGATGCTGGAGGAGAGGCTGCTGCATTTGCTTGGGAATTAGTCTGTGACTATCCTAACTTTTCTGCATTATTTATCCTAGACAGAAATGTGGGGGCCTAGGATCAAAACACATGGCTCAGAATGTCTTTGGTCCACCTCTTTTAAAAAACCCTTTCACTTAGGGAGTGGGGGGATGTCTAAACTCCAAGAGATCTGGCATTAGTTCTGAAGACAAGCCCACAGCAGTAGCAAGATGTATGAACTCTGGCAATTCTGAACAGGAGCCTCAGTGTGACTGACAGAGAATGTTCGATATATCCCAATTTTATTTTCTCCTTTTTTTTTTTAAGATTGGTCAATATTTTAGAATATTTAAAAATAATCTACAGAATGAAATTTTTAAAAGTTGGCTTTAGTTAGCTAAATTACTACCATTCTACAATCTCAAAATATTTAAAGGTGTCAACCTTCAGATATACCTCTATAGCATCTGATGGTAAAATACCTAAATTGTCACTAAGTGCCTTAATGGGGGTGACAGGTTAATAATATCCAAATTAGGGCAGAAGGAAGATGAAGGCAAGGAAAAAGTATCTTTTTATACAACCCCCACTGAGGTTTCTACTCTACTTTCTCCAGCTTATTTAGAGAGCTAAAAAGATGGCGAGTGGTGAGAATGGAAAGCAGTCATTTCATTGCTAGGCATCCAGACCTGGAGTGAACAAAAGCAAAGTAGGATATAGAGAGGATTTCTAAATGAGAGAATTAGAATAGACACTATCTAATATTAATTCTGACCATCTGGCATTTAAAATGAGATTTAAGATATGTTTATTATTTTACTACTAATAGCCTGAATGAACAGTGGGCCTTAAAACTGTTTGTTTAGTCTGACCCCAAAAGAGAGAAAAACCTAGAGTTACAGTCATTACAATCATGCAAAGGGTATATTTAATGATAAGGAAGTCCCTCTATCATTCTATGAAGTCCCTCAAAAAGTCACTGATTAATTAACCAAAGTCAAAAAAGGAAAAATTAGTTAAGTAACCATTTCTGGAATTAATTATTTCCCACAAAATGTAGGATTTTTTCCCTTTGATTTCAAAACTCTCTAAGGAGAGAAACTGGGTGGTTACATACCTATAGATGGAGATTTGAAAGGGTATTTATCAGGAAGATCCACTCTAACTTTCCATACTCCGCCTTCATATGGTGCTGAAATAAAAGTAAAAATGTTAAACATTAGAACTGTGTATCCAAATTAGAAAATAAATCTGAGTGTAAGTTAAACATTATATCCTAATCTACTTTGAAGACCTTGCAAATTAACTCCTTCAAGAGTCAGAGACCTCTTATAACCAGTAGGTACTCTATGTTCAGACTAAAATACTTTTCTTTAAAAGATCTAGAGTTAGAAAATAAGCAAAAATTCATTTTCTCCCCCAAATTTACCCAATTCTCTAAAGTATTAAACACTATCCAATTATTTGGTAAGTAAGAGCCTCCCATCTCAATCGACCCCATGCCCACCAAAAAACAGAAACAAAAACAAAACAAAAAACATTTCTCCAAAACCATGCATGTGGCCATCCATAACAAAACCCAGAATTCACAATCCATGTTTAATACTGTCACACAGAAATAAAAGAGAAAAGCTTATAAAGTAATTATGAAAAGAGCAAGACTTTCTCACTGGTTCTAGAATTCAATTAAATTTAATTTTCAAAAACTACACATAACCACTATCTGTCTTCGATATTCTCATTGTCTACTACGGAACTGAGTAAAAGATAATAGAAGAACACATACCAACACGTGTACTTACTTCCTTGTGGTCCATAAAACTTCACTACAAATTCATTGAGGCCTCCCAGGATTGTAACCTCATGCTTACTCTCAATGCTAAGGTGGAAGGTAAAGGAAATTACATAGGTTTTATATTACCTGGAAGAACTACAGATGACATCCCCAAGACATGCCATTTAAAGTGGCACCCACATTTGATATGAAACTGATAAAATATAAAATATACACAATTTAGAAGGCAATATGTACTCTCGTAAAAAGAACACGAATCAGCTTTAGATTCAGAGAGAGTGGTATTCATATCCCAGGACTGCCATTTACTGGGTTTGTGAGCCTACATAAAATAATGTAAACTCACTCCCTGCGCCCTTGTTCTCTGTCGGCAAATCAGGAAAACACCACTTCATAGGATTTCTGTGAGGATTAAATGGCTAAATATGTCAAACGTGTAAGACTGCATTTTGTATAAAGTAAATGAAAAATAGGACCTTAATTTTAGTTTTTCTCCCCTCTGTACTCTCTCCTCCCCAACCTTATCCCCAATGAGCCTTTAACATAAATCCATTATTTCCTTTAGTCAAACTCAAATACTCAGGAAAACATTGATTCTCCTAAACTGGAAATTCTATGCTCCTAAAATTATGAATTTACTAAGGAAAGTCCCCACAATTTTCTCCCTGAATTAGAGATACAACCTTGCTACATGTAGTAGTGCCAAATGCAAAAGATTAGCAAAAAACAAATTTTTTTAAATCTTGTCTGTAGTATTTATTTTCACCTACTCTTTCCCTCCCTCCCAAACCTCCATTCCCCTTAGCCTGGTCTCTAGGTTCTGGTGCGCTCTGGAGCTCTAATCACAGAGGAGTAACACTTCTGTGTTCTCTTCCTCAAAAACTTACCTGTCCCTAAGACTCTAACCCCTTTAGGGTACTAAGATTCAACTATAAAAACCAAACCAATCCATATCAGAAGATGAGAGGGCTACCGGTCTAATACCTGTTTTATGTCTCTGTTTTGTGGTCTAACCCAAAAATGACTCTACTGATAGAAATCTTAGATGGTGGGGGCTTTGGAGAGCTCTCAAATCCCACTGTAACATTTGGGGAAAAAGAAAACAACAACAACTGTATATGATAGACCTGTCTAAATCAGCAGTGCAAATTATATTAATTACATGTACTACTATACAAAAGAGAAAGAAGCCAAATTTTCTCTGTATTTTTACAGAGAAAATGGTATTTTTAAAGATTTGAAACTAAGATCCTCTGTCCCATGTGCCACCGAACAGAGAGGTTGGGTGTTATTTTTGTCAAAGTCCTTGCTCAAGAGCCCTGAGCAGTATCCACTAGAGATATTAAATAAGATAATTTAGTCTCTGCTAATTTGATCTCATTCTTTTCTAAATGAAAACTAACTACTTTAATAACATGCACATTGAAAGGATTCAAATAGTATCCACGTTGGAAAATGGGCTTCATTTCTCATGGTCAAATGACACATACATGCATGCTTTGGTGTACTAAATTTTCCTGACCAAACAGTCATCCTCTGACACACTGCAAAATATACTAAAGCTAATGCTAATGTAACTAATGAAAGTAAAACATAATTGTTTTAAAACTAAAAAAAAAAAACCCACCCTTGCGTTACTGAAAGAAAAAGAAGTCAAATCCAGTTACAATAAACAAAATTAAGTACAAACAATAAAGTCCCAAAGAAAACACTTAAAATAATCTTGGGGGTAAAAAGGCAGACACTAAAGGCTGGCTAAGAATGACACTAAAGCCAGAAACCACAGAGGAAAAGATCAGCAGATGCAAGCATGCTCACACATTTAAAACTTCCAAATTATAAAAGACAAAGGACAAATTAGGAAAAAAAAATTATAGCATATGACAAAAAAATGTGGATTTTTTTGAAAATAAGGAGTTATTACAAAGCAACAAGCAAAATTAGAAACACCTCAAAAAAGAAAGGCCAAAACAGCCAAGTTAAAAAAAAGAAAATTGAAATGAGCAAAATTAAGTTATAAAAAATTCAACTCATTAAAGTAGTTTTAAAATGAGAAATTTTTCACTATAAATTGAAAAGATGAAAGAGCCCGATAAAACCTAGTGTTTAGTGGAGAATAAATTAGTACTCCTGAGGACAAATTTAGCACTATATTCCAAAACCTAAAATAAATCTACTCTTTTATTCAAATTTCACTTCTATGAAGTTATTTTTTTAAAAATAACCAGACACTGCTGGTGGGAGTGTGATACAGTTTCACCCACTTTGGAAAACTGTTTGGGTGGGAAAGCTGCACATAAGCATACCCCATGCCCATCAGTGCTACTCCCGATAGATATGTATAGCTGTGATCATCAAAACACACGGTTAAGCATGTTCACAGCACTATCTGTAATATCCAAAAATTAGGTTACAGCCCAAAGGTTCATCAACAATCAAAAGGATAAATTATACTACAGTCACCCAACAGACTATTACACAGCAAAAAAAAAAAATCCATTTACACACATCTCAAACAGGCTAAATGAATCAATGGTATTAGAAAGTAGGATAGTGGTTACCCTAGTGGGGAATGTGATAACTGGAAAGGCGTTTGTGGGGATTTCTAGGGTGCTAATGACACCTTTATTTATTGTTCCATTTATCATTGAGCTGCAAAAATGATTTGTACACTTTTTGTATATATGTTATTGTTTAATAAAAAGTTTACTAAAAACAAGACAAAGTGTAAATACATTTACTGGAATATTTTAAATTTAAAAATGGAAATAATCTGAGTATTTATCAATAGGAAACTGGTTAAATTAATTATAAGCCGTTTATACAACAGGCTGTTACTAGTGTCTACTAGTGCCCTCTCCTCACCCCACAGCTCCTCCAACGTATGTTTCCACTCAACTTGGGGTATATAGAAGTAGTCAATTGAATATAGTAGTAAAGATACCCCAGCCAAAAACAAAACCAAATAAATTCGCAAGGATAATGAAAGAATGGAATAAGGGAGAGGATTAAATGAGTTTAATGAAAGAAGTCATAAACTAATTTTATAATATAAAAACCTGTAAAAGCAGCATTCCCCATCAATCAGAACTAATTTGCTATGAATGACACTGATTTACAGCAATTACTTTTTTTTTTTTTTTGCTGAGAAAGACTGGCCCTGAGCTAACATCCGTGCCAATCTTCCTCCACTTTATGTGAGATGCTGCCACAGCATGGCCTGACAAGCGGTGTGTCAGTGTGCGCCGGGATCTGAACCCGGGCTGCCAGGAGCGGAGGGCACACACTTAACCACTAAGCCACGGGGCCGGCCACTACAGCAATTACTCTTAATTAATCATTTAAAATTATGAGTTATCCACATGGATGTCTCTTCTAGAAAACTGAAGGTATCTTTTCTATCCTTTATGTGGATGCGATAAATCCAGGTTTCTTCCATTTCATGATCTGTTTGCGATTTAGTCCATGCTTTTATCTACTTCCCAGAGAAGATTCTCCTTTCCAACAGTCATGTTAAAATGAGATTAGAAATCAATGCTCCAAACCTCCTCTTTCCCATGATCCCTGGTACAACCTACATGCCAGATACACTGGGTCTGTCTTTAATTACATGTTATACTGTAAATTAAAGAGTTCTTATAGTCCATTTCATATGAAAAGCTAAAGGTAAACTGAATGAAACCTTTACAACCTCTACCGAGTTGGTAAAAATGAAGAAGCTGTGCTAAATTTATGCTGCTTTAGAATGATACAGACACTAATTCAGATGGAAAAAAAAGAATTTAAGTTTAGCTGAAAGAAAAACACTACATTAAAAATAAGCCATTCCATTGCCACGAATGAATGACTTGCCCACAAAAAATAGAAAATTACTTGACTGCTGTTACCATGTGTATTTATGGTAGAGGCCACAAGTTTCTTTCTCCTCTCTGCTGCAAAGTCAAGGGCAAGGAAGGCAAATGAGAAGGCAGGTTACAACGACAAAAATAATAATCTATTCCTGAGATGTCCTGGTCTGGCTAGCAGACTGGTGGAACTCAGTAGAAGGCTCCTTCACTACGTTTTCAGTTTCAAAGCCTGAAAATACAAAATATCCTTCAGATATTGTTCTGGTAAATATATGCTAAACCCATAAAACCACATTTTACTCACCTCTGATCTAAGTTATTGACAAAATACTGCTTTCTACTTACTTAGCATTTCACTATTAAAGAGTATCAGCATTTTCAGTAGAATAATGATTAACATTCCGAGGAACCTAAGTTCATTTCACGTTTAAAATGCCAACCACCCACCACCTTATTTTTCCTGAATGGCATTATGATTACACAATCTAATATTTAAAGGTTAACGCCAAACTGTCAAGAGATAACTGACATTCTTGGCAAAACGTGTCTATCGGGATTTTAGAAATGATTTTTATATAGTTCTGGAATTTTCCAGAAAGGGAGCCAAAGCGCTAAGCCTGTGCCACAAGACTGACATTAACAGGAAGGACCTAGGATTCAGACAGCATTGTTTCCTAAGTTTACTGACAATGAATTTATAAAATAAAAAAAGGTGGCCTCCCTGAGCTGTGTCCATGGGTATAAGAGACTGGGGTGAAGAATGTGCTTCTGTGCAGAAGGTAGAAGCAATCTGTGTGGCTTTCTCTCTGTATGTTCAGACCTGTCTGTTTCCAGCTCTCCTAGAGATTAATCACACTACCAAAGTTGAAGAAACTCAGCACTGTCACTACCTAGTTTTCTTGGTAAAAATATGGTATGCCTATTAACCCACTAATGTGCAAAATATCACAAAAATAATACTTTGAGGGTTATGTTTATAAAGAATCCTTCTCCGTTAGAAATACAAATGAAATATTTACTAATTAAAATATATGATATCTAGGACTTGCTTCAAAATAACCCAGTGTGGGTAGAGTTAGGAGAGAGAGGTCTAGAAGAAATGTCATTAGCCCTGAGTTGACAATTACTGGATCTGAGTGATGAGTACATGGGGGCTCATTATTCTGTTCTCTTCACTTTTGTTTATGTTTGAAATTTTCAATAACAAAGTTTTAAAAAATAAATAATGTAGTCAGT